ACCAACATTCTCCAACCCAATCTGTCCTGGGCATTCCTTTCTAGTTCTATCCAACTGTTGTTCGTTCTTCTCATGTCTGTCTCCATTTCTCGATGTAATGTGTTCTTTGGTTTTACTCTCCTCCTTTGTCCTTGAGGATTCCAAGTGAGGGCTTAGCTTGTGATGCAGTTGGGTGCTTTCCTCAATGTGCGTCCTATCCACTTCCAGAGCTTCTGCCTGATTTCTTCCTCCGTTGGGAACTGATTTGTCCTCTCCCATAGTAGGTTGTTGCTGATAGTGTCCGGCCAACACTTATTCTTATAGGATAAATTATATTGGTTGCATAAGATGAAGCATTATTGAATTCATCTCAGAATATTATTCAGTTTAGTTTTTTTAAAAGATAATAAAGAATAATCAGTAGTTCAATATGAGGACATGTACGCATGCTACTTTACTAAAGTCATTTTTCAGAGTAATCTACACAGTCAAACGAGCTGAATTATCGAGAGTACGAATTGGAAATCTGTGTATAGTTATTTTGATCTTTACAATATTATGTTTCAAGCAGCGGTGGTTTATATACAGATATGCCGGACCGTGTGTGCATAAAATGAAACAATTATGTATAAACAAGACAAGAGTAGATGTGAATAAGTGAGACCGTAAGTACTGGACTGGCAACAAATTAGAAATAGTACATCGCATAATCGTAGTTAATGGGTTAACCAAAAGCTTATGATAAATGGAATATAGTAAACATAGTATTCTAGTCATTATGATTAATAACAATTCAAAAAGCTGATTACAACTTTTAAAGTATTCGTCCTTTTAATGGATTCAGTAATACATACTCGAACTCTAAATAATGCCTATTATCCCACAATCGTGTTAGAATTCAATTGCGAACTTTATTTTTATTGTTAACTTCCACACTACTCATTAGAAGCTGAATGGTGATATCATTCATTTTCATTCGAAAGCGTTTTCAAAAAGTGTTAACTCTCATGAAACTCCATAGGTTGTTAAGTCTGTTAAATGAACCCTCAATCCCATCTACTTTCTACTTCTAATAACTTCAGGCTAAATCTACATAGAAACTTGAACACAAGAGAAATGGTGTGAAGGGCAGAAAGAACGCTTTTCTCCATGGTTAAGGTATGCACAGAAGAGAAGGAGAGAGTGGGAACTCTATTTCATAAAGCATGACTCAATAGTTATTGTCAGACAGAAAAATAAGCAACAGCTATACGAAGAATAGAGTAAGTGATACAGACATAGGCGCTCAGATAAAAACGGTAAAGGTTATAAGCAAATAACTGACAAGGCCCAAATATGTGTGGATAATGGACCAAGAAGAATAGATTAATCGTTCTGTCCAAAGGCCAGAATAATCCACATAAGCGTGACATAGTACTGAACGCTATAAGGTAATGTTTAAACATATAGAAAATGGGTATCCTAAAGGTTGCAGTAAGTCATCTAAAAATTGATAGCATTACAGCTTTCTTTATAAATGTTGTTTGGGAGGAAGAAGTTGGAAGAAAACTCATGAAATACATAAATTACGAAGACATTTGATATTCGTTATGACACAAAGTCTTCGCGTTTGTTACTGATACACAAGTCCTCAACCGGCTACTGAGTGAGAACACAAAGCGTGGGGAATGAAGTTTAATTGGCCTAAACTGAATCAAATACTTAATCGTACATGTATATACACAAAACTACTCCTTAGAAAATGAAACCGTTCCTTGGCCAATGACATACACTTGTCATTAGATTTATGATTGGCACAACATGATAATGACTGTGGTCGTTCTCCAAGTTTCAGCTCCCTAAAGTAAAAATTGTCTTCACGTTCACACTGAAGATTTTGAATTTCGTGTTGGCTAACGATTGTTCAGGAGTATTGTCCTTGCTTTTCCAAACAGTGCCTTCAGATATACATCATATCCTCCATTTTTATCAATGATGCAGCCTAGTTACGTGTGATGCCTATGCAACTCTCACACTCGCTTAAATCTCACTTTTTGTATCTTCAGGAGGTATCGTTCTTTCCAGTCTGTCAGCACTTGTTCATCCTCCTTAATCTTCCTGAATAGAGTGTGAAACATATTTGCAGTTGTTTCCATGTCTGACTTCAGCTGATATATTGTCAGGTCCTGCTGCTTTCTCACTGTTGATTTGTCTGATGGCCATCCTGATTTCTTCGATCGTTGGTGGAGTGACATTTATAGGATATTCTATGCGTATTATTATTTTGTTTTATTTGAACACATACATATTGGTACAAGAGGGCACCAAATATATATGCGCCACGACATTTCATCATATTTGTGTGTGGGCTGTGATATTGACGGGTGCTCAGACCGAAGCAGGTGGTTTTCTTAGGGGGCCACTCCCCGAGCCTTTGACCTAAGGTTCTGACCCACGAGGCAGTGGAGCATCGTGAGGAGATGTAGTCCCATGGTAGCCGGTGACCAACAGTTGGTTCATACGCCATTTGTTCCTTCAGGATACTGGAGCCCATGTGCACCACTGGTTTGGATCCGGTTAAAGCGCCGGAAATTCGCTTTTCGCCTTCTCATTTTCGTAAACAACACCCTCGCCACGAGAAGACAGTGAGTAGGACTTCCCTGGCAGAGGCTGTATACGCGTGGCCGTGTGAGAGCATTTCGAGAGGGAGGACCCACCTCACTCTCGTCCATACCAGGGCATTTGGGGGCATTCTGTGTGTGCTGTTTCGATATCCGGTGGATTCAATGTAGCTGGTCTATTCAAGATTTCCTTAAAGTATTCTACCCATCTGTTCCTCTGTTCTTGAACCTCGGTGATTGTCTTGCCTTCTTTGTCCTTGACCGGTCTCTCTGGTTTACCATATTTCCCTACTAGTTTGTTCGTTGCTGTCTTATATTTCCTTCTCTTGGTGCTTTTTCTTCGTATTTCTACTTGTCGGCTTTAATGCTCCTCTTCACACTTGTTTGTTTCTGTGTATTCGGAGTGCCATGGCTTTCTCTACCCTTATTGAACTGTTGTCTTCTTATTCTTCTTTTCTTGAAACTTGTACAGGGTTCCCATAGAGATCCATTCGTCATGATGCTGCTTCTTGCGGCCAATGACTCCCTGATACGCTGAATTAGTGTTTAGTTGTTCTCTATAGTAATACAGACTGAGTAGATCTTGTAACGCATGGAACCTGTTGTTGAGAGCTATCTTGTATTCGTTGAATTTGTTAGTATCTCGAAGGAAGGCTGTATTGAACATTTATAGTGCTGTTTGTCCAGTTTTTCTTTAGCTTTATTTTCATCCTGGCAACCACCAGGTGCAGACCTGTAGCTATGTCAGTCCCTTTCTTCATTTTCACTTGTTCCATGGATATTCTGAAATTTATTGAAGCAAATGTGGTCTCTATACTGTGATCCGTGAGACTCGTATATCTTTCTGGGGGAATATAGCACCGCCTATAACCAGTTTGTTGCAGGTACACAAATTCTCAAGTCTCTCACACTTTGCGTTCCTTCTTTGTTTTGAAGAATGCTTTTATGATCCTGGATCCAAGATGTTCCCATACTTTCCGTGCTTCTTTGGAAAACACCAGTGCAACTTCACATGTACGAAGCATCTTTTCCTTCATGACCAGACTACAACTTTCCCGAAGCTACTGTTTTCTGTCCAGCTTGGGCTTCATTTATTCAGAGAATTGCAAGCTGTATCACCTCATTTTCGCGGCTAATTGACTGGTCCTCCCAGTCTCCCACATTGTCCGGACATTCCACGTACATATATCATTTGTTGATCTGGTTGTTAGAAAGAGCATCGTCCTCGTGACTTTAGAAGAATGTCAATTTTCACATTGACGTGTCCTAATTATTCTACATGAAGATCTTTTAACTCTCCGGGCGGAGTTTGAATGGTAAAAATAATTTTTTCCGGTAAGCGTTATCTTAACAAGGTCGACCTTTGGAAGATGGATTGGCTGACCCCATCCCCAACCGTCCTTCTTTACCCTGGCTTGGGACCTGAATTAATCCTAAAAGGGATATATACAGAGTGTTTTTATTTGGATAGATTCTTATTTTTAACTAGGCAGGCTTCACAGTTTACTGATAGTTCACTGGTCAATTTTTATTAGTCTTTAAACGTTTGTCAATATTATTTTATCATTGTGTTTTCAGTGTTCACTAAGTATTAGAGATTAAATTTACAACTTTATAATGTAGCTTGGTATACTGAGCATCCCGGTTTTCGATATTACTAACTAGAAGGTATATCCACCTTTGAAGAGGTGACCTGAAAGAGTGGGACAAGCATAGAGGAAATGTGTCCTACTCTTGTAATATTCAAATAGGATTAATTTTAAAATAAAGATTTTCATCTCATATTTAATTGAAAGCTAATTGATCTTACTTAAAGTATCGCGCATAAGTAATAGTACATAGTAAGCTTTGCATCATGGATTAATCTGAGACACTTATTCAAAAGTAGGATATATTTTACACCTATTTTATCTCAGCATGCAACACCCTGGATGTGGGGATCCCTGACCCCACTAGGGTCTGGACTGATCTTGGAGCAAAAACTTCACTTAAAGGCATCGAATATTTTAGACACTTAACAGTAGTAAATTTGCGAAACTGCGCGACCATCTTCCGATATCAATGACAAATATCTGTCTGTTTTAAGTTGATTTAAACAAAAAAAACACTGCAAGATTTCTTCAGATTTGCCTTTTATTTACTTCAAAGTAAACATTTTGTAGAATACAGGTATCATCGACAGTCTTGACAACATCATTATCAAGAATAAAGCTTATTTTTTCACACATCATAAATGAATCAACCTTGTAAGTGTGTCCATAACAGTCATTACAAAGATGATCCACAATAATAAAAAACGTGGAAGAAAGAACAGAACATCATCAGTCCGAAGTAATTCAATTTCAGTCGTTAATTGCATTCAACAAACATATAAATAAATAATAGGAATAAAAATTCGATTTCTTTAATTATCTACTTGTTTCAAACAACAACTTCCATGAATGAACATTGGTCGCACCCAATGCATAACAGTTGGACAATTTCTGCTGATTTGTGAAGCATGTCATTAACATTTGAGTCATCATTTTGTGTAAGTGATTGACAATTAATAGTATTTTGATCAATAAGCCAAGCATGTAGTGATGTATTGGAACAACCGGAAGCTTGATGCTTTGTTTCTGCATCAATTAAACTATTTTTTATGGTGGTAAGATTGAGACTATCAGTCTAGAATAGTAAAAAAACGATAGGAATTGTAGGAGAAAAGAAACGTTTCATATATTCAATTAGTGACTTTTCGTTAGTTTAAATCACTAAATGATTTTAGCCAGGATGGAACAACTGACCAGTGCTTTTTAGGTTTTCAATGATAGTCTGGCTAAGAACAATTAGTGACATAAACTATCGAAATTTTGAAATCGTTACAAATTCCTCACATACTAATCATATATAGGTGTTCGCTAGCTATTCATACCACATATTCCCATCATACGATGGTTCCTTCAGTACAGGGTTGTGAAGATTGTTGAGTTTTGATTGGTATCATGAACGGATCAATGTTAGGCCATCATTGAAAACCTGGAAGCACTGGACGGCCGTTTCGTCCTGGTATGGGACTCCTCAGAAGTGCGAATCCACAATCCGCACGCAGGACTCACACCAACGACCTTCGGTCTCGCGTGCGAACGCTTAACATATAGACCACTGAGCCGGAATCCAACAATGTTAGTATCTAACTCCAACCAATTCACGATATTGCGTGACCATTCTCAATTGTCTTTAGTGAGTAACTGCCTCACATCGGACACGATTGAACTCCACTGGTCACAGCTTCTCATTAGAACTCCACGAAATCCATTTTGAAACCAGTCACTAGTGTTCACATCATTATCAGTGTAGGGTGGCGGAGGCTGTTAAATTTTGTATATTACGTATACTACTGACTAAAATTCAGTAACTTATAACATTCTAACTATTTTTCACAATAATAACTGAAATTACTTGTTCATAGAACATATAGCCTTTAATCGATTAATTATTGTAATTGTATCCTTTTAACATTTTAAATTATTTACTCTCATTTTTCATGTATTCACTGAGATGTATTTATTTGTAACAGTCCCCATAATTCATGAGCTTAGCTCTCGTGTCAATTTGTCGGATGACTCAGTGAATTAACGCAGCTACCGGTCGTTACATAGTTTGCTGTAGATAATTCCTGAGTAACTACTGAATGAAACACATTTTTAATCATACCTTGACATTTTAAAATGATTTATGTAGCTTAGGAATTGATTTTTTCAAAATCAATTGTTTACACCATCGCAAGCGCTGGCCCTGTATTTTGATTTTGATATTTCACGTGTTACCCAATCGTTTGGGTACGAATCCTCGAGCACGTTTAACACTGACAATATAACCTTGGATACTAATCAGTAGTGAGCTCATTTAGTCTCTTTTTGAGTCATCAGTCGGATATAACTGGGCCAGTGTTGATGTTAAGATTGGAACTTGGATGTAGTACCAAATTTGAGTGCCATACATTAAGAGCCCTCTATAATTCCTCAAAAAAATCTTTAAAAAGTAGCAGACGTGGGGTGTGAGTGGAATATCGTACTGATAACTGTACTTTAGTGTGAAAACAGTAAAGGGTTCATCTTAGGCAACTAGCATCTGGAGTGATGGTGTCTTTTCACAATGGGAGAAATGGGTCGGCACTTTAAAAAATCAACCTCATTCATCTTGCCTCACAAATTCCCGTCGTCAACGGTAATGACTTTAATATACGAAGCTAACACATCAAGAACTACTTGCGCAAAGGACTTGTGTGACAAGGTTCAATCAGTTGTTTTTCAGGCTTTATAACCACTCTTCTAAGTTGTTAAAACCAGTTCTAACACAATGTGAGGAATCATGATGTGACCTTTTATGAAAACAACAATATATTCGTTAATAATAAAAGACACATAAGCATATAACGGTGTACTCACTTGAGTATCTAGATTTAAACTGCATGAAGAACAAGTGAGAATTGTACTATTCATAGATAAATAGCCACTAGAAACAACGGAAGAATGATGAATTAGCAGTGATGTTCAAATTAAATTAGTATGTCTAGAAAAGAATTAGGGAGTTACAATGCCGGACTGAAATTAAAGGCTTTCAGATTATCTCATTTTGGTAACTTTTTTCCAACTGAGTAGCTTGCATGTAGACGAAATAAAAACCCCATGGGATCTCTTTACATATTCGGTAACACTAGTTATGGATGAAGTCGTTGTTTAAGGGTTTCTGTGTCTTTGTTCTAAATATTCACCTATGTACGAAGATGGGGTTTCACCGATCTTGATTCTTACGCCCGAAGAACAAATATGATAATTATACAATTAGTTTAGCTAAAAATCAAACTAATGGATCTGCAAATAGTTACAGAATTTGCGCTGCTACACTATAAGTGGAATGGTATTGCCTAAAGAAACGGATACGAAGAATCGAGGAGTCATAATTAAAAATGACCCAAGGACTACGAATAACTGTAAGGCTACCGCTGCCAAAGGCTCTAGGATCGTTATGGACTATTCGTAAGTCATTTCTTAATTTAGATTAAGAAATATTTAGGGTATTATACATGTTTGTAAAGTCACACATGGAATATGGAATTCAAGCGACGAGTCCTTGCTTCAAGTATGATTAACATGGGTCACTTGACCCCCTATCCTCACTACTAGCTTCCGGTATAATAAGATAATATGTTTTCAACAACGCGATTTCTTGTCATTTACACATTCATGAGGTATTGATATCTCAAAATCTTTCAAAATATTCAACATGGAGATAACCATTAAATTTAATGCACTTTACTGAAACCAGACAGTCATCAAAAAGATTTAAACTAAATTGGTGTATTCAAAGACTAAGTTGTCAATCTTTCCAATATCCTGGTGAGTATAATAGTTTTCAACAGTTAAATATTCAAGGTTTTAATTTATGGTCAGTATACCGAAAAATCCTCTGATTTTACATTACCAGTTAATTAGCTGTGTTTGTTTGAAGGTGGAATGAGGTTTACATTAATGTTAGTTAGGCATTTGAACTATTCCATTGTTAATATTCAGGACTGGATTTTGATCGATCTTTGTTGGTATATACTTGCATTCATTAACCGTCAACCTCGATGTAGCTATTTCTTTCAAACGTTTTATAGAATAGGTGGATAGTAGTAGCAGTGGAATTTAGTATGGAAGTTTCTTCCTATTTAGAATCCTTTAGCTAGATAGGTTAAGTAGGGGTTCATTGGCACAACTTCCACTTCAACCAATCCGGTAAATAACGCAACGATCACCTAGTATCATCAGTGACAACTTTACCACTCCCAATGTGTCTAGGCTCCACAAGTCACCACTTATCACTAGAGGTTTAAGAAATCTCTTGAAGTAAGTCACACCAGTTGAGTTGACCAATATACTTAAGCTGAAAGGGATTAATATCTATGACGAATATAACCGGTAAATCACATTAATTGTCTATTAATGTTGTTAAATATCATCAGTCACTATCGTATGCATCCATCCAAGGTCAAGTTAATTAATCAAACAGAGAAGAAAAACTGTATTCGAATAACATTCAATTCGCATAAACTACAACTTACATTCGACATAAAGGACAAAGAACATTTTCACTGTTAGATTCATTTGGCAAATGAAATTGATTTGCACCATTATTATTACTATTTGTATTATTCCAAAATTCTGGGTTGAAATATTCCTCAATTTCTAAAATGACAGTCATAAAATGTAGTATTGTATTCCACGGATAACATACAATCAAACGAATTAGCACTTAACTCCAAAGTGCAGGTTGTAATTTACTCATCAAGAATTAAGATATATGTAACTAAAGTATTTTTAAATGGCTATCTGGAGGCCTAAATAGCTTATTTGAAACATCTCGAACTATGAAGCAGGGAGACACGAATACAAATCTCACAGAGAACACATCAGTTCTCTGAAGACAGCAGGTACGCACTACTGACATATCGATTAACAAAAAACCTAGGTTCAAGGTATCCTAGCGACTTCCGACTACCATTTACTATTTCAGCATAGTACACACGATGTCAAGTCATGTAGACTAGTTACTAGCGCATTGTATCTTAACTGATAGAATTCGATCAGCATTAAGAACTAGATAAACATACATAACTCTACATCACACTGAGCCCTGATACCATCTAATTCGTGCAACTGGATAAAAAGTGCGTCCTGAATTCTGATGTTAGCTACTATTCAACTTCAGAAAAAACTTATAACTAGATGGCGATATAGGGGCAATTCACTTGGGACGTACGTATGCTAAAATAGATTAATAAATAACAGTCGTTAACATTGACAGTGGGAAGGTACAAACCCTTGCAAATAAGATGATTGAGTAAAATAATCAAACTGTTAGGATTAAGGTAAATTCCTGAAATATTAAAGCTTATATTATGTAAGTACCTCAGATAGTCAAAAAGACAATCCTGTAATAATCAGATTTTGATGAAGTTTCATTATCTAAGCTGTATAGTGTAATCGTGGAATTTTTATTGTTCATTTTACAACACCATCAGTAAAAACTTTAGTCATTCAGGGTTCCATTAAAGAACAACCACACTTTTTACACAACTTTCTGAATTTTGTGCTGACGATGTTGTTCAGAAGGACACTGAAAACTTCACAATTAAATTACCAGGTTCAGAGAACGAAACTGCATTAAAACAACACACCAGAGCTACCAATCTCTACCATCTATCTCATAATCGGATTAATATTCATGAAAACATAATACAAATCAAATGCAGTTTGGAAATACGAAAAAAAATGGTAAAAATACAAGTATTAAATGTAAAGCAACAGTTCCACTAACCAACAGATAATTCATCTAGAACTCTGTCTTGTAGTAAGATTAAACTATCCAGATCTAATTGTTCCGCCTGGTAAGTGGGGGAGGAGGCAAGGGAGATTTTCAACGGTAGATGGAAAGAGAGAAAGAAATGACTGTTAAATATAGAACCTGATACCGATAGTAATAATTATTTTTTCCATTAGTTAGCAAAAATATTTTTACTACGACTAACTTAATATTAAGATTATTCCCGGTCGATGGACATTATTTGAGAATATATATATATATATATATATATATATATATATATATATATATATATATATATATATATATATATATATATATATATATATATATATATATATATATAGTCAGTGATAGTGCAATAAAACTGTCACCTTCATAGAGATAAGATGCAAACAAGATATCATGACTATGTACTGTTTATCAACTGTTGATGATATGAACAAGATGCTTCTCTAAAAACTAATAAAGTTTAGCTTTAGACCAGTGTACTAGTGATTGCAAACAATCGACAAGCCGTACATGATGTCACGTACAAATTGAACGGTTCTCAAAGTTTATGTCACAGATTGAAGCGAACCTCGGAGTTCTGGTCAGAAAATCCGTGATAGGCGGAGTTCAGTTATATGAGTAGTGAAGCAGTTATTCAATAATGACATAGAAAGATGAGTGTGTAATACCGGGAATTGGTTGAAGTTATGGATTCGAACCAATGAGTACCTATTCAGTCGTTTAAATTTTAAATGTTCATTACAAGATCTACAATTTCCTGGGTATAATGCTTAGTGAGTTGTCAAATACTTCTTAATGGTTATCTAGTTACGGCTTATGGATGGTGTAAACTATAGAAATTTTACATTTATATTTGGTATATAAGTTGCATAATATTCGATGGTAGATAACAAAAAAGAGAAATTTAAAATTAACAATGCTGTAAGATTGTTTTCCGCCTGTAGCTCTTCTAGAGTTACTGCCGGTCCCAAGCCCGGGTAAAGGAGGAGGGTTGGGCATGGGGTTAGCGTCCCCATCCCGTAGAAAACTAACTCGCTAAAAAAACGCTTACCAGAAAAAATAATTCAAACCATTTTAACTCTGCCCTGAGAGTTAGAAGGTCTTCATTTAGAAGAATTATGACGCTTCATGGTGAAAGCCGAGTTCCTTCGGAAGCCACGAGGCCGATGCCCCTTCTAACAACCAGAGCAAAAATTTTTATAGGTACATGGAACGTCCGAACAATGTGGGAAACCGGGAAGACCAGTCAAATAGCAATGGAAATGAGGAGATACAACTTAGCAGTACTGGGGATCAGCGAAACTCACTGGACCCAAGCTGGACAGAAAAGACTAGCTACGGGAGAGATGCTGCTATACTCCGGTCACGAAGAGGAAAATGCTCCACACACTCAGGGAGTTGCTCTAATGCTGTCCAAAGTAGCACGAAATGCACTTGTAGGATGGGAATCCCACGGATCCAGAATCATCAAAGCATCATTCAAAACAAAGAAGGAGGGGATCTTAATTAATATTATCCAATGTTATGCACCCACCAATGATAGCAACGACGACATTAAAGATCAGTTCTACGAGCGGCTGCAGTCAGTCATTGAGAAATGCCCAAGAAAGGACCTCACCATTCTAATGGGAGATCTAAATGCCAAAGTCGGAATAGACAACATCGGATATGAAGATATTATGGGGCAACATGGACTGGGAGAGAGGAACGAAAATGGAGAAAGATTTGCAAATTTGTGTGCATTCAACAAATTAGTCATAGGAGGCACAATATTTCCACATAAGCGTATACACAAGGCTACATGGATCTCACCGGACCACACTACAGAGAACCAGATAGACCATATTTGCATCAACAAAAAATTCCGAAGGACAATGGAAGATGTGAGAACCAGGAGAGGAGCTGACGTAGCTTCAGATCACCACCTAGTTGTAGCCAATTTGAAACTGAAGCTAAAAAAGAACTGGACAAGTGGACAAACAGCAATACAAAGGTTCAATACAGCCTTCCTTCGAGATACTGTCAAACTCAATGAATTCAAGATAGCTCTCAACAACAGGTTCCAAGCCTTACAAGATCTACTGAAAGAAGAAGAAACTACTATGGAGGACAACTGGAAAAGTATCAAGGAAGCATTAACTTCAACGTGTCAAGAGGTTCTCGGTCTAAAGAAATACCATCATAAGGAATGGATCTCTACGAAAACACTGGACAAGATCAAAGAAAGGAAGAACAAGAAGGCAGCAATAAACAACAGCCGAACACGAGCAGAGAAAGTCCAAGCACAAGCTGAATACATAGAAGCAAACAAACAAGTGAAGAGGAGCATTAGAGCTGACAAGAAGAAATACGTGGAAGAATTAGCAACGACGGCAGAAAAAGCTGCTAGAGAAGGAAATATGAGACAACTTTACGATACAACGAAGAAACTAGCAGGGAAATACAATAAACCAGATAGGCCGGTCAAAGACAAGGAAGGCAAGCCAATCACTGAAATTCAACAACAGCGTAACAGATGGGTAGAATACTTCGAGGAACTCCTGAATAGGCCGGCTCCTATGAATCCACCGAACATCGAAGCAGCACACACAGATCTTCCTATAGATGTCAACCCACCAACGACGGAAGAAATTAGAGCGGCCGTCAGACAAATCAAGAACGGGAAAGCAGCAGGACCCGACAACATACCAGCTGAAGCACTGAAATCAGACGTCGAAGTAACCACAAGCATGCTTTACCCTCTATTCAAAAAGATTTGGGAGGAGGAACAAGTGCCAATGGACTGGAAAGAAGGGCACCTCGTCAAGATTCCAAAGAAAGGAGATCTGAGCAAATGTGAAAACTACAGAGGCATAACACTACTGTCAATACCAGGGAAGGTCTTCAACAGAGTTTTGCTGAACCGGATGAAGGATGCAGTAGACGCTCAACTTCGAGATCAACAAGCTGGATTCCGTAAGGATCGGTCGTGCACAGACCAAATTGCAACACTACGGATCATCGTCGAACAATCGGTTGAGTGGAACTCGTCACTATACATCAACTTCATTGATTATGAAAAGGCATTTGACAGTGTAGATAGGAGGACATTATGGAAACTTCTTCGACACTACGGAATTCCTGAGAAGATTGTCAATATTATCCGGAACTCATACGACGGACTACAGTGCAAGGTCGTGCATGGAGGACAGCTGACAGATGCATTCCAAGTAAGGACCGGGGTCAGACAAGGCTGTCTACTCTCTCCCTTTCTCTTTATTCTGGTGGTCGACTGGATTATGAAGACCTCGACATCTGAGGGAAAACACGGAATACAATGGACAGCTCAGAATCAATTAGACGATTTGGACTTCGCAGATGACCTAGCCCTCCTATCACGTACACACGAACAGATGCAGATGAAGACAGCCAGTGTAGCAGCAGTCTCTGCATCAGTAGGCCTCAGTATACACAAAGGGAAAACCAAGGTCCTCTAATTCAAAGCGGAAAACAGCAATCCAATCACTCTTGATGGCGAAACTCTGGAACATGTAGAATCCTTCACATACCTGGGAAGCATCGTCGATGGACAAGGAGGTTCAGATGCAGACGTAAAGGCGAGGATTGGCAAAGCAAGGGCCGCATTCCTACAATTGAAGAACATATGGAATTCAAAACAACTTTCAACCAATATCAAAGTGAGAATCTTCAATACGAACGTCAAGGCAGTTCTACTGTATGGAGCTGAAACTCGGAGAACTACAACAACCACAATCAAGAAAGTACAAGTATTTATAAATAGCTGTCTACGCAAGATACTCAACATCCATTGGCCAGATACCATCAGCAATAGCCTTCTGTGGGAGAGAACAAACCAACTTCCAGCTGAAGAGGAAATTAGGAGAAGACGATGGAAATGGATAGGACATACATTACGCAAATCGTCAAACTGTATCACGAGACAAGCCCTAACTTGGAATCCTGAAGGGAAGCGGAAAAGAGGAAGGCCAAAGAACACATTACGTCGGATAATAGAAGCAGATATGAAAAGGATGAATTACAACTGGAAGGAGCTGGAAAGGATTGCCCAGGACAGGGTTGGATGGAGAATGCTGGTGAGCGGCCTATGCTCCTTCACGAGGAGTAACAGGCGTAAGTAAGTAAGTAACATATAATGGAATATAAACACAAATAAATAAATACACTACATACTTCACTACCTGAGACCAAACTTTTTAAGAGTTCTCTTTTCTCTTGAAGAAGTAGTTGATCGGTTAAACTATCTGGTTCTGAATTGTATATGTTTCGAAGGTGATCGATAAAATGTGTACGTTTCAATTTCATTGATTCCATAAAACGCTTGTATTGCAAAGTGGTAGCAATAAAAAGACACAATAAGAGGCAATTAATGGAGAGTAATATTACGAAAAAATAAATTTGATAATTTGTAAAGAAATTTTTAAAAAAATAAATATAATTGCAAATCATCTGATGAATTAACTGTGGAAGCTATTATATTCTCATACTAACAGTCCTTAGGATAGTTGTTAGTTAACTAGTGATTACAATAAGTTACATATCAATAGGGTTATCAGTATACTCTCAGTTAAGTTCTATTCATAATTTAATATTTATCAAGAAACTATGATGGTTGATACTGGAGCAGAAGTTGATCATCAGACCTGAATGTGTTGATAGTTTACAGATTAACAACTGTTTGTTACAGATAATGACTTTTATTCCTACAAAATGTACGAACTGGAGAGGCTTAAGCTTTTAGTTTTTCTTAAATGACAAACATTTAGTAAGTGTATTTGATATATTGCAAAAACTTACGGTACACCAGAAAAACAGATAAAAGATGACAATACTAAGTGTTGAAATACTACATACCATTAGGCTCTTAAGCTTACAGCTAGTTCAGCAAAAATTAGATTATTACCGGGTATTATAACGACTGAAGGAAGTAATGTATATAATTTTCTTGTTGAAGAATCAGACACATCTTTATCTAATTATAACCTAGAGTAGAAAATCGAACAAAATTCTTTGAAGAATGATACTGATTGTTCATAGGCAACCAATACATACGGTATTGGATTAGCCTAACCTGATAATAAGTACTGTAGAGCTGATCAGTTAGTCAGTCAACTACAACGTAGGACCAGGCACATACATGGTATCGGCCCAAGTTGCCGCACCTCATTAGCACAAGATGAACACCAAATTCAGAGAAGTATTTACTTCAAAGGTAGTAATATATAAAAGAGAGATTGCATATAAGGATATAACACAGGGAGAAAGAATTACCTTGTAGAAAGAAAGGCATAAAGTAATTTTAATCTCACGGTTTAAGGGAAGACAAAGAGTGTATACACTGACGCCGTTGTGGTCGATTCTGAGCCATGTCACCCAGTTTCCAACCATTGGTTACGGTAGTCATGCGGACCCCAACCATGTAGTCTGCATCTACCAACATGGCTCACATTAGAAGTTAGTGACTTCAAGCACTGATGCCACGTTTTGGTTTGGCCGCCCCTAAATTTCTTCCAGCCGTCTCCAACACTAGTCAGTATTGCACGTCATGCTAATCGGTGTTCAGGCATACGTAACACGTGACCCAACCATCTCAGTCGATTAGGATTCACAATTTCACCAACTGATTTACCATCATTGCCAAATACCCTGCGTCTAACCTCACGATTACTTACCCGATAGAGTTGGACATTGGTAGTTACTATACTATAGTGATAAATTTCGTTATCATTAGTGTTAGCCATACAAGATAATAGTAATTATGGCACAAATAACAACAGAAGTAACCATGTAGATTGACAGCATATTCAAACATTGCCAAGACACAATCATAAAAACTTTGTTATAGAGAACATAACTTACTTCGTGTAGTAGATCTCTCCATTTGTTTTCTTTATGCTGAAATTGTTTTGCATACAGTTCTTTGTGTCTATTCATTTTAGACCGGTGGGAATCATGTACCAAAATTGTTTTGTCTATCATTTAAGTAATATGGTTAGAAAATTTAGATTGTAAGAAAAATTCTTTAACAACAATACAAAAGTATATCAACGATAAATAACGGATGAACAGAATTTATTTTAGCATTAATTCACTGCCGGGTGCAGATTCTAACATTTGGTTTCGAGTCAAACTTTAAATATGAAGGCTAGTGAGACTAGCCAGCTGCGTAAACCGAAGTGGAACGTAGTTCGAACAGGAGATTTAGTGACTGAAGGTGGAACGTCTTAGCTGCTGTCCTACGTTTATTTAATTTTACATGAATAATATGTCACCATTTAACTGAATACAAATCAAAATAAAATCTTTCGATATGTTAGTCCGAGTATTCGGGAATGACAGGACCAGAGAGGAAAAGGTTGGTGGGTACTGATGTGAGACGGTTTTAAAGCTGACAACATTTATATGATATTAACTGTTATAATGGGACGAATATTGGAACTTTCGGTACTACTTATCGGACTATTATAACCTATATTTTTATTGCAGAACCACTAGATAACTGTATTTTTGCATTTATATATTCTCTTATCGTAAGCTTTGAGCAGACCTATTAACTGTCGCTATACATTTTATTATCTCTTAGTTACTGTTAACTAAGTATGCACTGTTTACTCCTCCGTCTACCACTGTAGTGGACGCTACTCACAAGATTGCTTGTAAGTAGTGTGTTGCGAGGTGACGTCAAAGTTGCTACAATTGTCAAACTGAGTGAAGAGTTTCAGTGCATCAAAAGCACGGCGTTGGCAGAACACTTGGAGACAAGACGCGAAGACAGGTCAGATGGAAGTATACATCGAAAGATGAAAATGGACAATTGAAGCTTTGTATGGGCATTATGTAAATACTTTTTAACTTCTCGCAATAAATATAAATATGGATCCCACCTGCTATTTGCTGTGTTTAACACCACTTGTGGTATGATTGTGTTTAAAGTATGGTCTCGCATTTGGTGTTCTACGTGATCAGTCATTTCGAGTATATTACTGTACGAGTCTTGGGTCATAATTGAATAAACTGGTTGTTGACTTTTTGAACTCAAAGCGCGGCATAGAGAAGAGCTTTAGCATGTTGGCTCACGGTTAATGGTTTAGATCAGAAATGTTATTGGTACAGTCTAGGATCCCAGGTTATGAATTAAATAGTAGAAGCAAGATAGGGGAAATTATAGTCGGAATTCTAATTGATGAATTTAACACGTGATAGCGATTAGCATTACAAGTCATAACAACTACAGATAGATATATTATAATCATACATATAGGGGGTACAAGTTTCGGACATAAATGGAAATTGAAAAAGTATATTTTATTATTGTCATTTTAGCCAATGAAATTAATAACAAAGCAGGTTGATTTCATTTTAAGATCTGATTATCTTCACGTCACAAGGTTATTGATCATTCAACTAAGTGGACACTGCAAGTTTTGGAACCTTGACAAGAACGAACTCAAGAAATGCAGGCTAACATGTTATGGTTAGTCAGTTTCCAAAAGTCAATAATCTTAACATATTACAAAGTTTCAGGAATTGTGTTACTACAAACAGAACGTTTTGGTGTCGACACCAGGAGGTAGCGGAATTTTTATTAATCGGTTTAGAGATAATATGTTAGGTTTGAACGTCACTTAAAAAGTGTTTATAGGTAAACGGTACTGAGTTTAAGAACAAGACAGTTACTAACATTAATCGACTCACGGTTATCTAAAGGTTAAGAGATCGCTGTGAGACCTGGAGGTTCTGGATTCGATTCACTGCGGGATTGTAGATGTCCACTGCTCGAGTGGTTTACTGAGACGGAAAAATTGTCCAGTGATTCAGAGATCCTACTGGTTGTCTTAACTGAAGCCGGTTTGTAGTGCAAGTAATAAAATTTCACAATTACCAGGAACCCTTCAAGTTTACTAGTAGCTAATTATTTGGTCTTGAGATTAGTATTTTCTGACTTTTGAATTTGGTTAACATTACAAATCAATGGGCAGAATTGGTGAAAGTATAGTATACTGTTGATCTTGGGCTAACCAGTCAGAACTAAGATAACGCCTCATGTATTTTGTGCAAAATTTAAAGTGCGATGATATATATCTTGCGTGTTATTATTAAAGTAAAACGTATTTGAAATATTTGGTCCTTAAAATTAACAAAAGTATCTATTGTGTAACCTAAAAGTGAACTTAAGATGATGCTCAAGCTAAACTACGAAAAATATACTTGCTCCTTGGGCAGATTGTGTATTAAGGTAATTTACACGATTCGATGCGTAGTCGAGTGCTTTGTGGAGCTAGATAGTGTTCTCCCCCACTAACCCTTATTTTAAATATTAACTCTAAGTTTACTAGGTTCATAAACAGAAGGTTGACAAAGTGTTACCTCATAGCTGAAGTCAGTTCGTGAAGAAAACCCGATTTTGTAAACCCTTCGCAGAACTCCAGCTAAACCTATAATGCCTAACACTAAACATTTTGTATTATCGCTGATGTCAGTTAGTGACGAAAACTCTAAGGGGTGATAATACTAGCTCGACTCTTAATTTGTATTTATATGTGTATACTTGACCTATTTACTTCACTAAAAGGGATAATTTGACATATGAGGTTTAATTCCAGTCAGTCAGTCAGTAACAACGTAGAACTTCGTACGTACGTACATCAGTTCGAGTTGCCACACCACATTAGCACAGAGATGCAGTTGTCGATTCAAATCCCGTAGTGGTAGAGACAGTAAAAGTATAAGCAGCAATCGGAAGGATTAGGGTTTGGAGATGTTTAATTATTCAGATTAAAGCTATTACTCCTCTGTTATTTCACTGGTTTGTATTGCTAATTGTTTTATAACTAGTCAGCATTTCCTTATTGAGTGAAAATTTGTCCAAGGTCGTCAGTGTAGTATACTTTTACCGCAGAATTTAGTTACCAACAGATTTTAATTTAAACCAGTAGTAAGCCGTAAACTGAAATCCTAATCAGACAATCATTACTTAGAAGTTAGTCATTTGTGTAGGATTTAGGATTTCATAGTTTAGGGAGCTATATAGAAAACTAGTGTAATGTGCTTATTCTTAAAAAGATTTTTTTCCCATTTCAACCAAAAATATTGACTAGTGTTTTCAAAATAAACTGAAAGCCAGTGATAGTTCGTTTTCATTATACTTCGTATTAGGTACTAATTGAAGTTAAACAATATTGGCAAAGTTATTCAAAAGTAGACTTCTACTTTATTAAACTGAGTTGTCAAGTAGAGCTCTTGAAATAATGAAGAAAGTCTTAAATACATTTCTCTATTGGAAGAAAAGAAATCACCAATGAAATAATGGTGTACAACTTGAATGAACTGTTTCATACACATATTCATTCATTCAATCATACATACACGTGAAAGAAATTGAAGAGGAGCTGAACATATGAACAGATATACACAGATATCATATAATATAAACTCGGGGGAAAAACACAATTCATATTACTAGAAATAAAATTTATATTTACAAAATGTTAAGCTTTATACATTGGACTGATATACATAGAAAAGTAAGTCAAGAAGGAAGATAGACAATACTACATGAACTGATGATTACATAACTTGAGACTAGAAATTTAACCGAATAGATCACCAACTGTTGGTAACGGATCTAAACCGAAATTTGTCATATCAGGTAGAAGATGCAGATCAGGAAGATTTAAAATATGTTTATTCAGTTCACTTTTTAATGAGTGACCATGATCTAATTTCGACTTCAAGTCCTGTGCAAGAATAATAAAACAAACAACAATAAATATAAACTGATGTAGATAATAAGAACAGGGAACAAAATGATTAACTTTTTTATAGACGATTAATCAGTGAGTATTGAGTAATACCACGCTTATCTATTCGTTTTTTTAGTAGTGCTGAAATTTCATCCACCACGCTGTAATGTTGCTCAAGGTAGTGGGGGAAGAAACCATGGACTCAAGCTTTATACTAGTTGGCATTTATCATGGAGGCGTACTTGCAGTTTCGAGGGAACTGATGTTTCTTGTGAGATTCGAATCAATTTCTACATTCTAGACACTTCTTACTAACGGGTATCGGTTAGTATGAAACCTTAGTTTAGCGTTTTATGCCGACTACCTCCTACCGCCTAAAATCGCACCATATAGTGATCGTTAATTTGTAGACGCTATTGCGAATGGAAGGGAACGCGATTACTACTGGTTAACAGTAACTTTTCGACACATTTCTCGCCCTACTATTCATAAAGTGTAATACAATTGAAATGTCATTTGAATACTGTTGATAATATGGTGTAATAGACAAGGATTACGCTCGATAACCACGTCTTAATTTCATTTGAAAGTGAGTGACCGACAAAATTTTTATTCTCCAATTGCTTATAATAATCTAATCATATTTATCATTGTGTTAATATTTCCCATAGAAACATGTTATTTACTAGATAAACGACCTATTTTTATAGTTAGTGCTTTAATTTTCCAAGTTAAGTTTATTCGCAGGTTTACATGAACAATTTCATTATCGTGAGGCGTTATCACTCGGTTAAATAATATTATTGCATTCTATCTATTAATTGGTATTCTAAGCATTTCTTATAACAGTTTTTAAACCATTCATTTATCCACAAAATTTTTAATCTATTATGTTGGGTAATATGACTCAAAATCAATTGCAGTTGTGCAGATGACTTCACTCTTTGCCTTTCCTCAGGTTCCAAGTTTTGAAATTATTTTATACATTTTATTTCGTGAATCCATTTTTCCGCCTAATTTACTTTGTATTACTGATATTATTATTACGACGTCTATGTACATTGATAGTCATCTCGTTGTTCTGATGTGATGTAATAACTAGGACGAATGGCTAGATGATGGCCAGATTGTACATTGATTATGATCGACCGACTGAATAACTGACAGTCTATAACATATTTTTACGAAGTT